CATAATCATCTAACAAGGTGTCAGTAAATACCCTAAATTCCCCTCCTTTTTGTTTCCCTTAAACCAAACATACCCTGAATTCTAGAACTACATAATTAAACATAAATTTCTAAATTTAATCATCTAACAATGTGCCAGTAATTTACAGAAGCAAGAGGAACGTGCCTGATATATAATAAGTTCGTGTGTCTGTAGACTGGGTATCCTAAAGTAAGGTTGTCGATATAATAATATATGGTAAACAGCTGGATAGATATACAGAGAACAGTATTTTAGTGCAGATTTGATTTTACAAGTGGAATTATAAAATGGACTAATAGGCTTCATGGTAGCTGCTGTGATCTGCATTGGCTCGACTTGTAAGAGATGGTCTCATTGTAACAATGGCAGATTCATTAGCTCCAGCTCTTAAGGCAGCTCTTCCAGCTTCCAGGAATCTTTTGACCGCATCCTCCACGTATCTGTTGGCTTCGCCTACATTCATGTACTTGCCAATGTCTGGGTAAGTACTGAGGACATAATCACCATTCAGCTGTGATGCAAGCTGGACCAGTTCGACTTGGAATTCTGACAGTTTTACATCTTCTTTTGGTCCCCGTGGCCTCAACGATACCTTCACTTCCGGAAGAGTTTCTGCAACAAATTCCAGATATAACATAAACATCTATGGTTTTAGCAGGTCAACAGAGGATAGAAAGAAATCATGAAAAAGATCCAGACAAAAAAGGGTTCTAAAAAAACAGATTCTAAAGGAAGCAAATCATAGCAGTTGTGCTAGGTCTAGATACAAGGCCTTAACTGATTGAAAAGATGCTATAACATTTTGGTTCAAAGAAAATGGACACAGACCTGGACAATCATCACGGGGAGTATCACGGAGGTTAAAATAACTCTCAAAAGTACCAGCCCAAGCATCCCTTTTTGTGAGGAAGTTCGAGTTTAGGTTGAAAAGCTTCTTCACTGTTGCAGGGATGGAAGAATGTTCAAAATGTGAATCAGGTGTAGGCCCAACTGGTTCATGTACCACTGCATCAAACAGTCTAAGGTTAAAAGGCTGGCATACACAAACACAACATTAAAGCAAAGACAGTATACTATAGCCTGTATGAGGAAGGAAAGACATTTGGAGATACAACCAAAAAGATTACGTCTTTGAAGTCGACTACTCAGCCTTTTTAACTATCATAAAAAATCCTGAAGAACCAATACCTAATACAGTATCAAAAGCACAGGGGTAAACAAATAAGCAAATGGGTGATGGGACAACAAGCAATGACTTTACATCAAACATGCTTCTAATCTTAGGCGAATAAGCTTATCTTAATTTTAACCAGATTCTGTAAGAAAGTCAGATGACTGAGATAATTTAAGCAGTTTGGTTGAGGAAAAGTCTATATGAATGTTCCTGTGTGCCTGTACGGTGTACATGAAAATGACTTTTATGAAATCCTGGGGCAGGGTCACAACAATTTAAGATTATAGCTTCATTAGTTTTCTTAATCTTATTTTTATGGTACCTAATTCATTTCATGAAAATTTCTTAATTTTTCCCCAACCAAAACAGCTGAAGAAACCAAAGCCCTCAACAACCTTAGACTCAAATCCAAATATAAGCAATCGAAAAACGCTCATCAGCAGAAGCAAAAATTTGGCCCACAAGAAAATACATTACACGATATAACAAAGAGATCACACCAAAATAAAGAAGTAATACTATCAAAAACATTGTCTCTCCAATTATTCCAAATGAGCACATTCAAAGCAAGCAAACTTGAAAGCAACACTTACCAATTACGCTAAAGACAATACTTCAAAGCAAATCATCCAACCATTAAATTTAGAAACAAGCTTTATCCCAAATTGTAAACCACCAACCTTACACTAATCATTAATCTTCAACCTCAAGCAATGTTCTTATACTTTTCACTTTATCCTAACTTCCGACTGAGACACATAATCTGAACATATGAGAACAAAACTAAGGATAATTTAACTACTGTATTCTCAATGTTGGATGTCCAAATTCTTGCAACATAAATCAAATTCTTCCATAATCGAAACTACTTAAAAGGAAAGAAAACAGATGATTATAGGGAGAGCTCACCAGTGCCCTTATCAATCCAAGGGGAGATCAGAAAGGTTGGTACCCTCACACCTAACCTGTCAAACCGGAAATAAAATGGGTCAGGTCCCACGATTCCGTCTGGGTTGGGGACACCGGAGACAGGAGTCGGCACATGATCATAAAACCCGCCGTGCTCGTCGTACGTAATCAGCAGAGCCGTCTCCTTCCACTGCGGACTACTTCTCAGTGTTTCATACACCTCCTTCACAAACTTCTGCCCTCTCGCCACGTCATGCGACGGATGATCGTCGTTGGCCGGGAATGCGTCGACATCGAAGTACCGCTGCTCCACCACCGCGTAATTGGGAAGCCGCCCGAGCCTGGCGTGGAGCTTGAACTTCAAGCTGTAGCTGTGGATCTTGGAAACGTGTTTCAATTTTCTTAAAGACGAAAAGAACAGTGTCGCCGGAATATTCTGGTAATAAATTCCGAACGTCAGGCCATTTTCGTCAAGGGAATCAAAGATGGTTTTTTGGGGGAATCCATGGACGAGGTCCTTCCTCACGTTGCTCATGGCTCCAAACGACGTCGCTGAGTGGACGTAGAACCTGTTCGGCTGAGTCGAGGCAGGAACTGACGCGAACCACCGATCGAACACGGCGAACTCGTTGGCTAACTCAGCGTAAACGGGCAACCGACCCGGTTCGAACCCGCTCATCACGGTTTTCCCCATGCCTTCGCCCATACTCTCCGCCTGCTGCGCAAACCCGTTCATCGGAGCGGGATTAGCCGAGCTCTCGTTCGACCCAAATATCTGCTCCCTTATCGCCTGGAAGGAGTGACCCGGATCAGAGTCGACGAAGACAGCCTCGTCAGAAACGAAAATTTCCTCGGAATCTGGGTCGGTCACATTGACCCTATTCGATTCCCGACCGGTGAGACCATCAATTTCAGGATGCGTCGACTTGAGCCATCCGAGGATGTGATCGAAGGACCGATTTTCCATGACAAGAATCACCAGGGTTTTGATGGGTCCTTTGATATTTTGCTTCCTTCGCAAATTATCAAAGTTAAGGGACTGAGCAGAAACGATTAGGTAAAGGAATAGCACAAAGACAAAAGGTAATCGCCGGAAACTCATTTCCGGTGATCGGAGAGTGCCGAATTTGAAAGTGATGAATGGGAAGACGAAGTAAAGGAGACAACTTGGGTTTGTTTTAGTGTCGTCAATAATTAGGACTGGCTTTGTCTTGCACGGGATATACTTCCCGTGCCATTTTTTTTAACGTTAAAAGTTTGTCCATCGTGTAATTTTCTCTGTCATACACCATATAATAAATAATTATTAATTATTAATTATTTTTGAAAAAAATAAAATAGGTTTTAAATTAAAAATAAATTTTAATTTTAATTTTAAAATAAATAAAAAATAATAATTATATAATTATTATTTCTTATAGATAAACCTTATTATTAAAACAAGCTCTTTTTTTCTTTTTTTCTTTTTTAAAGAAAAACTTTAAATTTGGTAATATGTGCCTTAAATTATCTATGAAAGTGGAATCCCATGAGAAGAGAGTCATTGAGGTTCAACTTTAAAGGGTATAACTTTAGTAGTAAGTTTTAAGCTTAATCATTGGGTATGATGGAAGTGTTGAGGGCGATAGATATACCACAATCAATCTGTCTATATATATAAAATTAACAACACAATTAAGAAGCTCAACATAAACCTTAATATGGTATGAAAAAACCTCTCAACAAATTTGGAATTACTTGATGTGGCATGAGAATTCAATTCCCTATTAATATGTACCTATCATAATATTAATTTGTGTGTTGTACCAATAGCTATATAGTTTACTTGTAAAATTGTTTGTATTTTTAATTATAAATTTAAAATTTTAATAATTTTTTTAAATAAGTTTAAAATTTAATTTTTAATTACTACATTTATATATATATAAAAATCTTTAGTCACCAACCACCAACAAAATATTAATTTTTTAACTTGTGCCTAACTAAAGTATATTTATTATATATCTTTGTAATTAATTTACATAAAAAATATAAATAATGATTTTGCTTTAATTAATTAGTCAATTATATATATGTGAACACATCTTTGGAAATTTTTTGTAAACATAGGTTAGATAAACTCAATATATATTTGAGTTTTTTAAAAAGAACTTTTCATTAGTTAAGGATTAACGGGGGATTTTTTTTTTCTTTTTCTTTTGCACACCTGTAGTTTGAGATTGGTGGTTTCATACATCATCCAGACAGCTAGCACGGTTAAATGTTGAGTAGTTTGTAAGTAAGAGGTCCCAAATAATTGAATAAAGAAGATTCATCATGTATCAAACACCTATGCTTCAGAGACAATGTAGTAAAGCATACACATCTTCAATCCAAATATAAATGCTTGAAAAATGAGCCTAGGGGGTAAGATGATACATCTATCAGAAGATCAGGACGGCCTTTTTTTGTCTTTGAGCTGGCATTTGTCAGGACTTACTAGAAAAGATCAAGAGCCATCTTGAGTTTGTTTTGTCTCCATTTTGGAAGCATGTAGAAGGCTCCTCGTGTCATTCCAAATTTGTCTTCAAATTCTTCATTGGACAAGTATGCCTACACAAATGCAACCAGAAATTTCAGGTTTGCGCCTGTTAGGTTGATTTGAAAGGGTAGGCAGTAATGGGTTTCATGGGGAGGATTGAGGAAAAACCATTTTGAGATACCTCTCTTTTGGTCACGTCTATGTCTGTCACGGGATCACTTGAAACCACTTTCAGTTGTTCGTATGGAAATATTAAGGAACTGATCACACTGGTCTCATTTGCATCAACCTGATTTAAGGAGTTCAGCTCTGGTACTGGAGAACCTGAAAAAACAAATATGTATAGTAAATTAGTTAAGAAAATAGAGCCTTTAATGGGATTATATTACTTTTGCTAAATGCCTGTGGATTATCTGTTGAAACAAATGTTCTACCCTACAGGGTTTTTTTTATTTACTTAAAGAGCAAGTTTGTGATGTTCAGTGTGACCTTGATATGAAGGGGATGTTGAAAAGAGCTTCCTAACAACTGGAGTCGGGCTGGATACATTTTGGTTGTCAGGGGACCTCAAATTAGAACTTGATAAGGTAGATGCTGGAGACACACTTCTTTTCCATCCATTTGCGCTGCCAGATTTGCTTCTTGATCCCTCTGGTGTGGAAGAAGATTTCCATGAGTTTCTTACTAGTGCCTGTTTTTGGCCCTTCAATGTAGCAAGCTTCCGCTCAAATGAATTGCCATGCATCTGCAAGATGGCAAGTAAGAAATTCTAAACTAAAGCCAATGTCCAAGTGAAATGCTAAATTCCTATGAAACGGTAAAAATGTTCATCATATCTGAAAGCAATCAGTAATAATTCAGTTTGATGATTAACTTGTTTGCCATGAATGAATGGTGTAAAATGACTAGAAAATATAGATCATAAAGAATCGTGAAGACCATGAATTTGTTTAGAAAATGGAACAATATCAGCAATCAAACACAGGAAAGAAGATTACAGCTGCTACCATCTACAAAGGCAGATTACACACTTACATTCATCTTCAAGGTATCCCATTCAAAAAACTGAGTAAAGAATGGTGGCTCATGGCCTTCTGGAATAACATATATTGGAGTCTCCAAGGACAGTCCTTCAACTAGGATATCTGTCTCAAGAAATTTCTGCCAGTAACAATCATGAGAAAATAAGAGCATAGAAAGTTGTAAAAGTATCAAATATGTAAAACTTGATGCCATTGTTTCCTCTCAAATATTAACAATAAACTCATGTAATTTAGTGATAGCACTGGTGTGTCTTACAACCAAGAAATTTTTGAAAAACATGTGATTTTGTTCAAATTTGTGGTGTACAACTGACAAATGAAACTCCATGATATCCCCTTGGTAATTATAATAGGATTGGATAGATCTGAACAGAAATGTTTGATATGCATGTAATGTTCAAGTAATGCATGAAACAAAAGAACTCAAAGAAATAAAATCCACAATAGCCAAGTCGAATAATTTACCTGACCAATACTGAGGGCTAGTTGCTTTGATGTAACATTTGAATAGCGTCCTATCCAAACATATATTTCTTCGTAGCAGTCTAGAATTAGTACATCTTCTGTGGTCAAATCATCTTGAGTGAAGTTGTATATCTCTTTTGCCTGAAAATTAGGGCAAACTAAAAATGAGTCTGGAAAATCAAAGAACCATCTTCAGTCAAAATATGATCACATGGTGTTTTCTGTTGCTTTATCTAAACTGATGAGTTCTCTTAAAAAATGACAGTGCTTTTCTTTATTTAAACTAAAGGAATCATACATGCTTTACCTTGAAATCACCTGAGCAGCAAAAATCAAACCAAGGAGCCAAAGAACCATAACTGCTGTCAGATATTCTTTTCAGCCACTAAAGCTGAGATAATTCAGAACCAAGGGAGCAGCAAATTATCCTTTTAGAGAATAGAAGCATAAATAGAGGATCTTTTGCTTACCTTCCGTCAAAACACATATAAACAGATGAGGATCTTCTATGAATTTCTTCATCTTCTTTTCTTTTGGATATTCTGTCTTTCCACCAAGTAAACTCCAGAAACTATCTGGTTCACTACCTTCTCTCACTGATATAGGTTGCCATGTAGGCTGCAAAAGGCATCAAGACACAAATAATTGACAAAGAAAAATATGGGTCAAGTGCCCAAAACAAAAAAAGAACTTGTATCGGCAATATATTCTAGTAGCAGAAGCTTTTTCTGTCAGCTACTTAAGATTTAGTGCTGAAGTTTGAATATCCCCCAACTGTAAATATTCTAATACTATTTTTGGCTTTAGGGAGTGTAGTTACACACATTTATCAGTTCAAGCATTCTGTCAAGAAGATCGTGATCTTTGGTCGAGGTAAGATTCCCAATCCATGTGAAAACAGATGTTCCATTTTGCAGAATGTAACAATAAGATGAATTCAAGGAGCTTGAAACCTGAAACCATTAAATTTAATTATTAATTCATACTCAATTGTGCAGAGGCATAACTGTCATGCTACTGTAGTAGCACAATTAGTAGGTTAGAACAGCAATAGATATCTAGATCGGATAAAAATAGAGGGAATAAGTGTTTCATTTTAGGAGTATTGAAGATCTAAGCTTACCAGATCAACTTGGATAGCCTGCATGTTGTTTGGATTTGTACCCTGAATTCGAAAAAGAGCTGTCTTTTCTTCATCATAAGTTTCATCAGCAAAACCATTTTCAGCTATAAATGTCTTGTATCGTGTACTGATGCCTCCCTTCAAGGAAGAACAAGATGAAAATATTAAACGTGTTGTTTCTTTGTAGCTGATCATTTATTAAGAATCAAGCGAAAAAGTATCAAATGAAGTACCAACCTTCAAAATAATTAATGTCTGAAAAATCAAAAACAACTGAGCTGGCTCTTTACCCTCAGTAACTTGAGCCTGAAAATACAACATGTGAATTAAACTAGTGCTTTTTCCCACAAAGACAAATAGCAACAGAGAGAAATAAACTCAAAAATGTTACAACTGTATGGGTGATAATCTATAATGACAGATTAGCTAACTTGGACCAGTGCAGTGAACTGAAGGAATCAAATCCATTATTGCAGGATCTATTAGAAGATGAAAAGTGGAACTTGCCATTACTGCATCCCCCTTAGTTGAATCAACTAGGGCACTCATATTTGAGATTGCATCAACCCTGTCATCCTGCAGTAAGGGAAAACAAACAAATTGAATGAAAGAAAGTAAAAAGGTTATCTGATGGTTCATTAAGGACCAAAATATAAACCTAAATGTACAAAAGATGGTAGAAGATAGACTGAGGTCAGATGAAAATGATGCATTAAGTTAAGAACTAATTCCCTTAAATCCAAACAAGTAAATGTAACTCACTATCAAATAATAAGATATCCACAAAGTAACCAAGGATGTTAGTTCTTTATCTTCATTTGTAGATATGTAGAACATAGAACATGGTTTTTTAGTGATAACTTAAGCTTACCATTACACTACCACATCCAAGCCATGCATAAAATAAATTCTCATCTCTTTCATCGCCAGGATAAGAATACTGCACAATATAGCAATCCCCGCTGAAAAGCTTTGTCTGTTCTGAAACTGGAACAAGGGACAACTCATTACCATTCACCTGCCACACCTGAAACATTACCATGGATCAAAACAAACAGAAAGTTTTAAAAGCTTAAAGACAAAATTCAGGAAGAATGACAATCATTTTATTATGGTTAGAGGGTACTTTCAGTGTGCCTCTACAATTTATATAAGGCTCGCAGTCATCTTGAGGAAGCTCCTTCACGTCATAACCATGTTGCTTGAACATTGCTAAAAAAATAAAGTGAAATTAATAGGTAGAAAAGTCAAAAATTCTACTGAAACTGCTATGTTTCATTTTCATTTCTTTCCATAAAACTTAGTTCAGATAGGTATAAACCTGCCACTTTTTCTCGACCTTCATCATACAACTTGGTCTCCACAGTTTGAGGCCAACTGCTAAAGTAAGACCTAAACATGGGGGTTTCCAATCCTTCAGTTATAAATGTTAAATGAGTCCCATTTGACCTACCCTGCTCCCTGAGAAAATCCTGTAACCTACTAGTCAGTACTAGAGGAATGGATTAATAAAACAGAGCAGAATATATTGTCTGAGGGGACTTTACAGTAAAAAAAAAAATCACAAAATGCATTGTCATTCTTGTTGTAATACAAATGTTGCCCAATGACTTCAACACTAGAGTTCAAACCAATATTCAGCGTGCATTTGGATATATCCTTAATGCCTAGTATATAATTGGTTTACAAGTTATCCTTGCAGTGGCTTAGCAAATTAAAAACTCTCCTACTCAACATCAACATTAAAATTAATGATTTAACAGGATAGCTAGTTTCATATAGGATATGAAAGGGAGAAACTTAATATAAGCTCTAAAATTACCTTCTTTGCTAAAAGAAGCTGTATAATATTTTGTACTACTAATAATTTATCTTACCTCTGCTGCCGAAATAGATGTCTTCCGTTCAGTTACAGAGGTAACTCTTCCCAGCCAAACAAAAACTTCAGTGTCACAATCTAACAAATAGCACTTGTCTTTTTCAAGTGTATCTCTGTTCAGTGAACTAGTTGCCACTTGAACGAGTTTCTTCTGATATGTTATCCTGTTATTGAAGCATTGCTTGAGAAAAGCCATGTTATTAAATCTAAAGAGAGAGAAGAGATAACAAAGAAGGTACAGAATAGAAAGAAAGAGGAGTTCAAAAAGATAGCCTACCTTGTGAAATAGTAGTCAAAATGTTATGATTTCTTGTTTCTATAGTTGTAAACTTGTTGGATTTTGGAACTAATAAAAAGCTTGTAAATAAAGGAACAAACAAATGTCAGGGCAAAACTCACCAGAATAATTTTACAGGTGTAGTATCAGGCTGCTGCTGAACAGCCAAAGGTGTCTCCCTGGGAATGGGAGCATAACCACCAAACAAACTCCAGAATTCACCAACATCAGGATCACCAACCAATTTCCCATCCTCTGCAGCATCAGAACAATTAGCAAACAAGGATCTTAAAAACAAGAAAGAGGTAGGGAATAATGTTCCAAGTTCCAACCTATAGCTGCCACCTCACAGTTTCCACCGTGCTTATTCTCTTTGATATAATGAACAACCTCCAAAGCTTTAGCTCTTTCTTGGATAGTGGAGTTGCAACCACTAAAGAGGAAGACTTTTGATGCAGTGTCAAGGACAAAAACATCGTTGTGATTTAAGGATGACCGAGAAAAAGGTACCTGGTTAGCAAGCCACAACAAGAAATGTGGGATATGGAATGAGGTACTTAGAAGAACAAGAAAAGCCACTCTAGTGCTGTGTACCTACTTGTAAAAAGTGTCAAAGACAGAACTATCGAACAAACTAATTATCAAGACTGGAAACATAACAAGTGTTATATTTATCTGCTAGTTTGGTCATACAGAACCAAAAATTAAACTTAGCTGTTTGAGTTAAAATAAGCCAACAAACTACTATTTTTTTTCCCCCTCATTTAAGAGGCTATAACCGAGTGAATGACACATCAAAAAAGCAACTTACTTCTTTAACATGAACAGCATGATCTCCCTTGCATGTTAATAAGCTGATTCTGTATGTCTCACCATTTGATTTCCCTGGTTGTGAAGAATATACTCCTTCAAGTGGAATGATACATGGTTTAAAGTAAGACAAAAACTTTTCTGTTTCTTGGCCTTCAACTTCCTTATACTGCACAGTGCAGGACCCTAAAGCAGCATCTAATTCCAGAGCTTTATCTGATACCAATGTTGAATCCACCTGCAAGTATATAAATAATATATCCATCAAATTGTGAAATAATCCGAAGTGACATAAGATACCAGACATTTGATCTGTTAAATTCCAAAACCTCATTTGCATGATTTCCCAACCAGTAATGTATATCATGCTGAGGAGGGCCGCTTTTTACCAGAATTGTCTGTCACATCAACAAGAGAAATTGAGATACGCATTATAGAATTCACCAAACAATGCCACAAAAGCAAGATTCTGAATCTTCTGAATCCACCCAGAAACTTACATGTAAAACAAGATATGCACTTCCAGAATAAAATTTGCCATGAGAAGTCTTAGGAACAGGCACCAACAGAAGATTCTCAACACACCAGATTTCCAAACCACTACATAACATATAGATGTTAAGGATAAAGCAAGAAGCCCAAAGATAAAAGCTTTACTCACAAACTGAAGCACCCTTAGAAGCTAGAACATAATAATAAAGGAAAAAGGATACGCTTTTGCACCTGCACCTTGTAATGCTGGATCAATGTCTTTACTGAAAAAAGCCATTACCTTTGGACGATCCAGGCGGACCCAAGAGGGTACTTATTGAAGGGTCAAGAAAGGAGAAGAAGAAGAGGGCACCATTAAAGTTAAATCCGAAATGAGACTTGAGAAGATAAGAGTATGTTTGAAGATAAAAAGAGGATTAATAATAAAGTCAAGGAAATTATGATGATGAGAAAATTGATGAAGCAATAAAAAGGGTAGAAGGAAGAGCGGCATGCTTGGCTTTATGCTTTATGGTTGGGTGGGTGGGTCTGCAAGTGCAAAGTTTCAAGCTTTTCCATCAGCAGAAAAGGAGAGAAAAAGGTGATAAGCATACAAAATTTGTCCTTTTTTTTATTTAAAAATATAAAATTTTTTGAAATTTTAAATTATGTGGCCAACTTTATATTTTTTAATTAAGAGTATTCAAATTATATTTTTCTTATTTCAGAAATTGTTAGATGGTAATATGACATGATAAATAATAATTTTGATTAGAAATTGTGGGTTAAGTGACTCTAATCACTCTAGTAAAATTCATATCCCCTCCTCAAAAGTAATGGTTTGAGTCGACTCATAACTAAAATATTAAAAAAAAAGTATATATTAGTTTTAAATCTTAAAATAAACTAAAATTTTAATATTAAATTACATATTTTTTAATTAAAATTTAATTCAAAATTTAAAAATCTAATTTATTAAATATTAATACTTAGATTTGAAAATAAATTATGTTAAAATATATAATTGATTTTTAAATTTAAATATTAATATTTAATATGTTAGATTTTTAAATTTTGGTTTGACATTTTGATTTTGAAATATAAGTTAAAACTTTAATTTTTGTTAAAAATTAAAATTGATACACGTTAATCTCTTATTTATAAATTAAAAAATTAAAAAATTTATATTTTTAAATGAAAATTAAAATTTTTTTGTCAACTTTAAAAACAAACAAAAAAAAAGAGATTAGTGATATCAATTTTAATTTTCAAAAATATTTAAAATGTTAATCTATATTTAAAAACTGAAATCTCTTCCCATTAAACATTAATATTTAAATTTAAAAACTAAATTATATTAAGAATTAAATATTAATATTTAAATTTTTTTAATATTTAAATCTTTTTTTTAAATATCAATATTTAATAAAATAATTTTTAAAATTTAAAATTAAATTTTAATTAAATAAAATAAAATAATTTAAAATTAAATTTTAATTAAATAAAAATATATAATTTAAAATTAAAATTTTAATTATATTTTGAGAATCAAAATTAATATGTTATTTTCTCCAAAAAAAATTATATCCTTAAATAAAAAATACAAAATTTGTTTCCTTAACTATTTTTTCCTTTTTTTGAAAAGGCGAAGAAGGGAGGACGGTGGAGCGTTTTGTTCTCTTCCCGCTCCGTTCAAACGACGTCGACAGCGTGCGTTTCCTGGACGGCCGTTCATTGCGCTCTGATCAGACACGTGTCAGATAGTCTTGTTTTTTTCCTTTCTTTTGTCAGAAAATAATTATAAGCTTTTTATTCGTTTCCCATCGCTTTCAAACGATGCATGTACTAATAACACATAAAAGTGTTTTTTAAGTTTTTCTTTTTTTATATGGAAAAATGGTTTTTTAAGTTAATTTACAAAAAATATATATATAATACTCATGATCTAACAAAAATAAAATAAAATAAAATAAAATAATTTAAATATTCTTTTTATAACATTGTACTCTTTCAAAGTAACAGTTATTTTTTATATTTTTTAAATAAAAAATTTGTTATAATTTATGTATTTATATATATTATCATTTAAAAATATAAGTAAAAATAAATATGAGATTTTTTAAAATGATTAATTAAAGTGGGAAAATAATAAGAAAATTAAAATTAAAAAATATTTATTGATTTTGAAAAATAAAAAATTATGTATAACAAATTTAAAATAAAAAAATAACAACTATTTTAAGACAAAAAGAATAATTTATTAAAGTTATTTAGTTAATTTCATAAATATTTTGCACTGTTTTTTTATAAATCAGCCTAAAAAACCTTAAGCCATAATACTAATATAAGGAAAATATTTTTGAACAATATTTTTTTAATAATAAAATCTTATAACATGAGATGAATGTGATTTTTATCACTTCTTTTTATTAAGGTATGCTTACAATGGATGCATTAATTCCTTTTATACCATATAAATATTGTAGTAAGATTTATTGTAATCGTTTACAAAAAATTAAAGTTAAAATTACTTACATTTGCAATATAGGGTTAAATGTAATAAATCAATTTCTTTTAGAATAAAATTTTGGCAGAATCTCTAAATTCACCTCAAATTGAGGTGGAAACAAATTCTCCTATAAGTAGATAAAAACAAATTATTCGATTAAATTATTAATTAAAATAAATTATTTATTATTTAACCACCATGTGTCAAGAATATGTCTATCTTTTTTTTTTTTTTTTGGTTTCCCCCCGGTATCACGTGGCATAACATTATTGTGGGGAACCCTAAGTTTACTCTTAGCATATTTAAGTTTTATTTGATAATACTTTTTAGTGCTTTA